TAGGTAGATACCACTGCACCACTCTTCGCCGATGGTATATACGAACAAATTAAAATACTCTTACAGGGCAAGAGTTATCACATTCAAGCTGTAACTTTTTATCAAGTCCTTTTTAGTTTCAGTTATATTTCCAGTCAGTGAATAAAGGCCCATCCTCCCTCTATTCTCGCACTTGTCTAGGCATCATGTTGACCCTGGTTACTGTGTTTGTGTTGCTTAAGCCCTGAATTTTATCCCCTCACCATAGTCTTTGGTTCCAGTAGTTGCATAGCCTGTAACATCAAAGCAACTTGCGAACAGGTATATCTTATACAAAATCAACTAAGTAGGAGCAGTTAGGCCCAGCAAGTGGCTGGCCATACTATTCGGGGCCTTCTCCTGAAGCTCAAGTGTATACTCAACCTATCACCTACACCCACTGACTTTTACTCCGAAGAACGGTTTCTCTGTATAGAAATCGAGCTTCTGAATAATAACTACCAAAATTAGTGTCTAATACTCCCGCGTGTTTGTGCAGACAAACACGGAATGTGTCTATCCTCTCAAGTATCGCGGTTATCGCATCAATTGAAGATGACGACTGACCAACCACTGCAACCAGTGACACGCAAGCGAATATCCTTCGACTATTTTATCCAACAAAGGCATAAACTCGAGACAGCCTTGGGGTGACATATTAGACACATTTATTGGCTGATGAAGCATCTTCACTAGCTCAAGCTAACCTCCAAATCCAGATGCCGTCCCTCGCCACGGCCACTCCGATAAGCGGCTCCCCTCACCCCGCGGAAACATTCCCTTTTCGTTTCTTCATCAACAACACAATAACATATCCTCCCCCGGGATCAATCACCTTCATCAGAAGAAGCAACCGACCCAAAACCAATCCATCTGATATCATCTCGTCTCATTTTGTTTCTCTTCTCCACTTTCCTATCTAAGATGCCCAAAAAGGTCGAACGAACACGTACATTCACAGGCTGTCGAACATGCCGTTCGCGCCACGCAAAATGTGACGAGGCTCAACCCGAATGTGGAACCTGTCAACGATTGGGTCTTGTTTGCGGTGGATATGGAGCACGGTTGTTTTGGATTCGGGATGATACTGTAAAGCCAGAGTTGCAGCAGAGTCATCGGGGCTCCGAGTATCGGTATCCACTATTCTCCGGTGAGTGCTCCGTATGCTAAGTGCTGTGAATGAATGCTGATTATGTAGAGAGTGAAAGAAGGTTGATGAGTGATGAGTTAAAAGGGAGTCTTGGGAAAAGAACGGCGTTAGCGTTGTTGGCGGATATTGATTCTGTTTGTGAGAAGAGTGATGTTGGGAATGATGCGTTGATGAAAGGCCCTTTTGGGGTCTTTCAATCTGTTGAAGATGAAGTGTTGACGTTGGATACAATTGAGTGTTCTCCGGATACTAACACTGATAATACGTCTACGAGCATGTATGCCGAGACAGATGGTTTCATTGAGGAGATTCAACGGACAGACTGGCCGGATCAACTTCCGGAAGATGACCTGGATATTTTTACAGCTTCGTTGGATCCAAGCTTCAATATCAACACGGATGATTCGACAATGGCTGATCAAATGCTGCATGATCCGGCTATGGCGAATTTCTTTGTCGATGATCCAATGGGAGCTGAAGGTCTGGCACTTTTCAGCCCTGGTTTCATATGCCAAGTCATGGGCAACGACAGCACTGCGCAAAAAGAAGAGAACATTGATCCGGGACTCCAAGCGCCAACGAACCAGGTAGTCCCGTATCCGAGAAACATGTCAAGCCACTCTGGCCTTCCAGAAGAAGCAGAGCCATTACTTCGTCACTATCGACAACACATCGCTGGCCAAAGATCAACTATGCAAGCAAAGCGTAAATCTCCATGGGAAATCATCTTCCTGCCTTGTGCCCTGGAGACATTTGCCGAGTTATCTCTGTGGAATGAAGCGTCTCATACCCGCTCGTCAATATTCTACACTCTTCTTGCTCATAGTGCACTGCAACTTCACATGTCCCAAGCATCCAATTCTTTATCTACAGATTGGAAAGAGATCGGATTGAAGAATCATGAGAGAGCGCAGAATCATCTTCGGCAGGCGTTGCAGAATGAAATGTTTGGACCGAGGCAGGCTAGTTATAAGGAGCTTTTGATGGCTATTCTCGCTATGGCCATGACATCGGTAAGTCCCTCGTCTTCCACTGACAAGAACAAGTACTAAGACACTCAGCTGCACAATGGAGCTCGTGCATTCCGAATCTTCCTCCTCGATGCTGAACGCCTCATCCGTCTCCGCGGTCTAGCAAACCAAGCCCAAAATCCCTTCAAATCACGTCTCTTACACCACATGTATACTCATCTCCGAGTAATCGTAGAGAGTATATCTCTCTGGAACGAATCATTGCCCGAAAGCTCTTCAGAAATCCAAGATCTAAACCAAGCTCGAACATTCCGTATTACTGAAGCGGGATTGAATATCGGCCTTGATCCCGCTCAAGAAAAGACTGATGAGCTTGGATATAACGATATCCATCTTGAAGTCCAAGGGCGCTGGACTCAGACTCTTTATCCGGTTATCTATGGAATACCCGAGTCTCTTATGACGTTATTATCACAGACTGTGTCCCTGTCTAATGAGAAGAATCGCCTGGAGACTGTCGCACGCTGCAACCCTTCTATATCAGAAGCCCTATCAAAACACACCAAAACCCTCGAAAACAGAATTTGGGCCTGGCCTTCAACTCTAGGCCCCGCAGAAACCGTCAAACTGCCAACAGGCGACGAAGATCTCGTCCGCCACCCCCAAGTCCGCTCCATGACACTAGCAATCCACCAAGCACTCGTGATCTACTTTTACCGAAGAGTCTACGACATGAACGCCATGATCCTACAAGACCTGGTCCGAAAAACGCTGGAGTATCTTGAGCCTTGTTTGGGTGAGTTGATTGATGATCAGGACTTTGCTACGAGTTTGGCGTGGCCTGCTTTTGTGGCTGCATGTGAAGCTGTTGCTCCTGATTTGCAGGAGAGAGCGCTCAAGTGTTTGGGCGTGACGGATGATAAGGGAGTTTATTTTACGCCTAAACCTGCTAAAGTTGTTGTTCCGTTGATTTGGGAGAAGAGGAATCAGTCTGGGGATTGGACCACGAGTTGGCAGAGCCTTGTGCAAGAAAGCCTAGCATAGGATATGTCGTTTACTTCTCGAGTTTACACATTCACTTGTCGAGAGATGTATTCTTTCGGACCTTCATGAAATCATTTTGTCTATTTTACTATTTTAATCATTAAACTCCGTAATAAACCTTTTTCAAGCCAACTTGACACCAGCATCCTTCAGAAGCTGCGCAAGCTCAGCCCTCTCATCACCCTCAAGCAAAGCAAATGGTTTTCGCAGACCACCTGTCTTCCAACCCTGCAACTCCATACCAGTCTTGATACCAGCACCATAATGATGCGCCTCTAAAAACTTGCAAACAGGAAAGATCTTCGACCAAAGCTCTCTTCCCTTCTTCAAATCGCCATCAACAGCAATAGCGTTCCAAAGCTGCACTGAGAGCTCAGGAAGAACATTGGTAGTTCCCCAGACGGAGCCCTTGGCACCTGCGCAAAGTCCGTAGAAAGTGAGTGTGTCCCATCCGTTTAGGGCAGTGATAGAGTTGTGATGATGGAAGAGAAGATCTGTAAGAGCGGGTGCATTTCCAGAAGTATCCTTCAAATACTTGACACCAACATCTGAAAGACCAGCAATTTCAGCAGGAGACAAGCTCACGCCGCTCGCACTGGGAATATTATAATACATAATCGGCAATCCACTCTCCTTGTAAATCTCACTAAACATCTCCCTCAACTGCTTCAAATTGGGCGCATCGTAGAAAGGAGGCACAATCATCGTAGCAGCAGCTCCAACATCAGCAGCGTGCTTGGCGAGTTCTACAACGCCAGAGGTGGTGAGGTCACCGATGCCAGCTACGACGGGAACGCGGCCGGCGGCGGATTTGATGCATTGGTCGAGAACATCCTTGCGCTCTTGAATGGTGAGGGCTGTGAATTCACCGGTGCTGCCGCCGGGGACTAGGCCGTGCACGCCGGCGGAGATTTGACGCTGGATGTGGGCGTCTAGGGCGGGCAGATCGATTGTGCCGTCGGGTTTGAAGGGGGTTATAAGGGCGACTAGGATGCCTGTGAGTTCTTGGGGGGCCATTGTGATGGGAGTTTGGAAGACAATTAAGTGATGTCTGGTAAGTGTTTGAGATTGAGATGAATGGTTTGATGATGATACTCTCGATTTTTGATGTCTATTATATGCTTCTTCTTCTATGAACACTTTACCAATTGGTATACCCCGCGATGTTTTCTATCAGTCTCAACTTGACGTTCTCGTCAAAATAGGTAAGTCTCCACGACGTGGCGGAGAGGCTTGCCAACCACGTCTGGTGGGGTATCATCATGTGCCGCAAAGCGCCCAATTTGTTAGACCAGAGTCAAAAAGAAAAAAAGACAAGAGAAACCAGCCGTTTAATTGGTAAGCTTTCTTGCCTTCCTGTTCGAGAATTACTGGTTGGGTCAAAGCACATGGGATCGTCGCAATCGAATCTCCGGCTTACGGCCTGTGCGACGACAACCTACGCACCAGACCCAGCAGGAGTTGAAAGGGGGCCAAAATTGCAGAGAATCAAGCAAAAGCCTATTATTTTGTTGATTGGTAGTTTGAGCTCACAATATCTTTACGAGATACATCAAGCCAACACATCAAAAAAGCCTAATTTACTCAAAGTTTAGGCAGAACCTGCTGCCTAGGCTATATATATAAAGCCTCAAATAAGAATGTCCACAGTAAACCTTCGTAATGACTCAATAAGTAATCTTATTTGAAGCTGCTTGGGGTAAAATGAAAGTAAGCCCTGGACTCGAACCAAGATCTTTGACCCCCGAAGGGTCCTCTGAACGAGGATGAGACCACAACGTGCTACCAATTACACCAGCTTGGATTAGGTTTTACTTATTCCTTTTATTTATCGGGCTATATAAGTTGGGGTAAAGAAGTCACGTTGGTGTCTCGTGGTTTCAATTCTGATTCTAGTTGCGTAGAGAATAAAAGTACTTGAAGCTGCCTGCTATGCCTGCAAAGTTGTTTTCGGCTTTAAGACTGGTCGAGAGGTATCTAGGACTAAAACTTCAATCTCACATTCTAGGTAAACGAGACAGTCCCAATCTACAACTTAAAGACTATGCAGTAGATTATAGCATTAGGAAATATTGCAGGTCTTGGTGGCCGGCCCTGAAAACTATGTTGGTTAGAGATTTAAATTTTACACAAGATTCATATAGACACCTGCATCGCTAACATAAAGCAGGTGAGCTTCTTACATATTGAGATAATTTGTTTCGGTACACTCTTTCAGACCCTAAGAAAGGCAGAAACACTTTGCTTGCAATACACATAACCCCGGGGTTAGACAAGAATGGATAGATCGAACGATTTATGCATTAGACTCGCTACGTTTGACTTGCCAGTAAAAGAATACACTAGAGCCTCTGAGAACTAAAACAAAGAGCCAGGTTTCAGCCTTGTTAGCCGGTATTTCTGGGCCCGTAGTGCGAATCTATGAAGCTGACAAGAAGACCTTGAGAAATACACCAGCTTGTTCACAGCCACGGGAGTATTCTCAGGCACCCTAGTTGACTGTCTCAACACGCGGTCTACGTCTTAAGCTTATAGATCATGCATGTGGAAGATAGCTTTCACAACCAA